TTTAGACACATGGCAATGATGTGGCGTCTAACACGTGCCACGTCAGCAAAAATAAAAATAAAATTAGAAAAAGCTAAAAAAAAAAAAAAAAAGAAGAGAGACCCCAACCAGCGATTGCGGCGGTGGCCAAGCCCTCGCCAGTGCCCGCCGCCACAGCTGCCAGGAAGGGCTAGCGGAGGTCACCTGGGCCTTCCCGAAGCCCGGCAACCCTCGTCGACCCCGGGTGAGGCCCTACCGGTCCCCAGCGATGGCATGAAGCCCCCGATCTGGGGGAGGACGAGGGTCGCACCATCCCCTAAATTGGGGGCTACAGGCCCTTGCTGGGGACTCGCTCGGGGCTGGCGAGGGTCGTCGGGCTTTAGGAAGGCCCAAGCGACCTCCCCCAGTCCTTCCCGATAGTCATGGCCACGGTTTCAGGAACCGCCAGTTCCGGTTCGTGGTACTAACCGGAACCGGCGGTTCCGGGCCGGTTCCGATTCCGGCCGGTTCCGGTTTGAAAGGGGAGGAGGAGAAAATGGGAGGAGGCGCAGGGTAGCGAGGGGGAAGGCGGAGGGGGTGTCAGCGTCGGCGGCTGCAACCATGGGCGGGGGCGACGGCGGCGACAACGGCGGGGGTCAAATCTGGGAAGACGGGGGGCGGGCGGAGGAGAAAAGGGGAGGGGGAAGGCTTGTTGGAGGCGGAGCAGGTGACGAAACGGGCGCCCGGGGCTCGCCGCCCGGCCGAGGCGGCGGCGGCAGCGTCGGACGGGGCGTGCTCCGGCGAAGCGCGGTGGAGGCGGGCCTCCAGAGCCGCATTGGACGTGGTGAGGCCAGAGGTGGGAGCCGGGGAGCCCGTGGATGGGAAGAGAAACGGAAGCCATGGCCGCCATGGCTACTCTCTCAGCTCCTTCATCACTTTCACACGCGAAGCAAACTTGCAATTGCAGAGTGAAATCTGTTTTTTCCGTACATATAGTTCAGATCTGGGAAGAAGATGACTCAAGTTTTTTTTTTTTTTTTGAATCGGGCCCGTAGGCCACGGGCCGGTTCCGGTTCCGAACAGCAGGCCCGGTCAACGGGCCGGTCCAGGGTTTGACCTGGGCCGGTTCCGGGCCAAAACCGGCCCGTGGCCATGTCTACTTCTCGACGGCTGTGGCGGCGGGCACTGGCGAGGGCTTGGCCACCACCGCAGCTACTGGATATGGGTTTTTTTTTTCCTTTTTTGTTTTTTGTTTTTTATATCTTTTTCTAATTTAATTTACATTTTTTTTCAACTTTTTCTGATGTGTGGCGCTTGTTGGACACCACGTGTCTCGAGAAAATTAATAAAATAAAACACGTCAGCATTTTCCGTTAATAAATTAGACGGTGTTAACTTTAGGACTCGATTGAACCAATTTAATAAGTTTTAGGACTCAATTGCACTTTTGTGACAAATTTTATGACTTTTAGTGAACATATCCCTTTACATAAAAAGATAACTAATTTAAGCCTCATTTAAAAAAAACTCATCATCAGAGCTTGGGGTGATCGGTTTCACATAAGTAGATTGTAAACTTGGAACTTGAAACCTACCTTATCAGGATCGGTTCCCATTTTTGTAATACCCTAGAACTGATCGGGGCTTCTTTTTTTCTTTTTGTTTTACTGTATCATTTTTTTATGCACAAACATGATGTGTATCAAACATGAATACAATTATTTCTATTTGAGAATAATGTGTCAAACATCTTCAATTTCAACGTGGTTAATTCTGACAAAAAAAAAGGTTAACAAAAAATATCGACGTGCTCTCTTTATTGTTTTATCTCTCTAATGTGGCATTGACGTAGCTAACTCATGAAACATAAGGCTAAAACAACGTCGTTTTAGTCCAAATCTTATTTTTTAACCCAAACTTTATCTAAATTAAATTAATATAAAATTTAAAAAAAACACAAATAACAAAAATCGAGCCTTCGCTATTGTCGCCAGAAAGGGTCGTCGATGGTGGGGCAACCCCTGTCGGCCATTGTCCCACCATCGCCACGTGGTTTTTGTTGTTTTTTTTTGTTAAATTTACCTTATTTTTAAAATCAAAATAAGATTTGGACCAAAATGATTTGTTTTAGCCTCATGCTTCATGCTTTAGCCACATTAGTGCCACATAGGAGAGAGAATATAATAATAATAATAAGGGTTAATACCACGAAAAATCCTAAACTGGTACACTTGTGACACATTTACCCCAAACTATTTTTTTGACCATAAAAAACCTCAAACTGGTACACCTGTGACAATTTTACCCCAAACATACCACAAAAAACCCTAAACTGGTACACATGTGACAATTTTACCAAGAACTAATTTTTAATATTATTTTTTTGAATTTTTTCTTTTTTCTTTTCTTTTCTTTTCCTTCACCTTCAACCTCTGGCCGGTCGCCGGTCCGGCGACCGGCCAGAGGCGGAAGCCGGCGAGGGCCGCCCTCGCTGGTGTCGGGCGACCCTTGCCTTCGTCGGGCGAGGACGACCCTCACCTGCGTCGGGCGAGGGCCGTCCTCGCCTGCCCAGGGCAAGGGCGACCCTCGGCCGACTCAGGCGAGGGCGGCCTCGCCGGCTTCCACCTCTGGCCGGTTGCCGGACCGGCGACCGGCCAGGGTTTGAAGATGAAAAAAAAAAGAAAAGAAAAGAATAAAAAATAAATAAAAATTCAAAAAAAATAAAAAATATTATTACATTTTTAATTCAGGGTAAAATTGTCACATATGTACAAGTTTGGGGTTTTTTGTGGTAAGTTCAGGGTAAAATTGTCACAGGTGTACCAGTTTGGGGTTTTTAGTAGTCAAAAAAATAGTTCCGGGTAAAATTATCACAGGTGTACCAGTTTGGGATTTTTTATGGTAAAAAAAATAGTTTGGGGTAAATGTGTCACAAGTGTACCAGTTTAGGGTTTTTCGTGGTATTAACCCTAATAATAAAAACCGCAGCCATTTTTCAATTTGACAAGTTTTATGACTTGATTGCATTTTTTAAAATTTTTTAGGACTCGACTGCACTTTCGTGACAAAATTTAAGACTTCCAGTGCATTTATCCTTATGTTTTTTTTTTTACATATAATGGCCACAAATGCTTGTAATATTAGGACGATTTTAATTTTAATGGGAATCCGATAGAGTTTTGAAGCTAATCACAATTCTCTAGCAAAGTTAGATTTGAAATTATCGGCTGAAGTGGGATAATGGGTGAAATTTGGAGGTACTTCTTTTTTGTCATACAATAAAATTTTGAGATTGAAATATCATTAAATTAAATTTGGCAAAAGGACACAAGAAGTGCCATAACTTATGTACGGAGGACACTTTGGTGCCAACTTTTTTGAAAAACGATCATTTTAGTGCCAATGCTGACATGGCTTGCCGGAAATCCTACGTGGCGCTGACATGGCTTGCGCGGAGAGGTCCATGGCTCGCCGGAGAGGTCCAGTCAGCATTACAAACCAAAAACGACGCCGTTTAATCCGCTGACGTGTACTTTTTTTAGAAAAATAAATTTTATTAATTTTTTTGTTTTTTGTTTTCCTTTTTTTTTCTTCATCTTCAACCTCTGGCCGGTCGCCGGACCGGCGACCGGCCAGAGGTGCAAGTCGGCGAGGTCGGCCCCACCAGGCTCGCCGGCGTCAGGTGAGGGCAGCCCTCGCCCGACGCCGGCGAGGGCAGCCCTCGCCTGAGTCGGGCGAGGTCGACCACGCCTAGGCAGGCGAGGATAGCCCTTGCCCGACGCCGGTGAGGTCGGCCTCACCTTTGCCGGGCGAGGCGAGACCTCGCCGTCGCGACCCAGGCGACGGCGAGGTCGGCCTCGCCTTTGCCGGGCGAGGCGAGACCTCGCCGTCGCGACCCAGGCGACGGCGAGGTCGGCCTCGCCTTTGCTGGGCGAGGCTTGCCCTCGCCGGTGGCCGGCGAGGCGAGCTTCGCCAGAGGCCGGCTAGGTCGGCCTCGCTGGCCCTCCCCTTTGGCCGGTCGTCGGACCGGCGACCGGGAAAAAGTTAGGAAAAAAAAAAGATTAAAAAGATTAAAAAATTCGAAAAAAAAGCCACATAATTTTCACGTGTACAAGTCAGATCATTTTTTTAAAATATAAATGGCACATCAGTTTTTTGGCCGGAGTCACTAAAGTGATATATTTTCCTCCGATTTGACACCAAGGTAATACGAAAAAAAGTTATGGCACCAAAGTGTCCTCCGTACACAACTTATGGCACTTCTGGTGTCCTTTTGCCAATTAAATTTATTTGCGGTAGAAAAAGATATGAAATTAAAGCACATCTTGAAATAATTTCAATCACAAAAGGAGATGAGAAAGAACATTCCTTTGCAAATATTGCTTTGACCTGAGTGACACTTTAGTGTGAACAATACGAATAGACTGAATCGAGAAACACCTGGATTGGATAGAACCGATTGGTTCTGGACTGTTCCTAAAAGTGTCGGTCCGGTTCCTGGTGTTATAAAATTGGAACTAGTGATTTTCGGTTCGATCCCTGGTTCCGGGGAGGAAACGGATCGATATTTTTTATTTTTATTTCTCACGTAAACTTCTTCACCTTCCCTTCTCACGTGTCTTGCTCTCCTCTCTCCTCTCTGTCACTCTTCTCTCACCTCACGATTTTTATTTATTTTTTATTTGTAAATCAACTGGTTCCATTGGATCGCGTGGATCCGGATCCGGACTTGGTTCAGTCTGGTCCCTAATTTCAGAAATTGAGAATCGGTCCTTCTTGTCTGGTTTCCAATTTTTTGGTTGGACTGGACCGGACTGAACCGGGAACATGTAAGTTTTTTTTTTTGTTTTGGTCGGAGGGAACATTTAAGTTTACACATCACTTTATAAACTAATCTAAGTACAGCATTACCCTTTCGACAGCATTTCCTTTCTTAAGCAAATCCGTCCGGATTCAGGCCCAGCCCAAACCGATCGACTATCCATTTCCAAGCGAACGACCCGACCCGAAAGCGAACCCGCATATGCGACGGTATATGTTTTTTTATCTCCAGCCTCCAAAACCCTAAAACGCTCGCTCGGCTCATCGCGCACTCTCTCCCTCTCTCTGCTCGAGCCTCTCTCTCTGCTACCCTCAAAGCTCTCCCATCCGCAGGTATTGCATCTCCCTCTCTTACGGAGTCTTCTTCGATTCCACGTGCATGTCCGAATCGCGCTCTCGCGATTGCTTCTCCGCCGATTGTTCTCAACCTGGATTTTCTTTGCTGTTTCTCCGTTCCATTGCGTCGCCGATTGCTATTTCGAGTTCGCCGATTCGGTCGTCTCTAATCGTTTTTCTTTTTCTCGATTCAGATCTGAAATCGGAGTTGCGAGATTTTCCGCGAGGCAATGGCTCTGGTTAGTTCGTACACGAATGCGTTGTGTTGTGTTTTTTTTCACATTATGCGTGAATCCGTGCATTGTTTGGGTCTCTACTCTCTAGGAGAGCGTCGCGGGTATCGTGTCGTATGGACGATATCTTGACTATTGCTTTCTATCTGATTTTGCTTCTTCCTTTTTTAGTCTTTTGTTTTTTTCTGGGAATGAGAAGGAATTTAACTTTGGTTAGTGATGAGCCTTGGGATGGCCCTGATCTGTTTGAGAACGTCGCTTTTGTATACGAACTCACCCCGTGCATCTCTGTCTCCGTAGATTTGTTGCCTGAGCAATCCTATGCATGTACAGCCATCGTGATTGGTCTCCTATCCGAGTAATTCATTAGATTTTCTTTTCAGATCGTATGTAATAGAATGATACTGCTACTTTGATGCTATCATCACGAGGGACTGATGGTAGAAATCTTTCTTAGCGGGATCGAAATTAGATTAAAAAAAAACTACTTGAATAATTAAAATAGTGTTCTTACAAATGAAAAGTATGATTAAAATTAACGTTAACGAGGTTTTGTTTGCCTATCATACTGTATTTCACGGTTTTAGAATTGTATAATAAGTTTCATCAATTTGTGGGGACAAGTGAGTGGGCGCAAGAGCCCTATTTACCTTCAATATAGTTCTGTCCCTGTTCATAACTCACGCAGCTACTTGATTCACATTGCAGGTTCTGCACGCCACGAGAAACAAAAATGTCTACAAGACACTCATTGCTGCAGAATACACTGGTGTGAAAGTTGAATTGGCGCCGAATTTTGAGATGGGTGTTTCAAATAAAACACCCGAGTTTATCCAGATGAACCCTATTGGAAAGGTATTTAGATCCCATTTTGGTATTTTTTTTTTTTATGAAAGACTAGTTAACATAATCCAATGTGAGTTAAATCTATTGAAGTCCATGATGGTTCGTCATTCCGTTTTCCCTTCTCTTGCCTAGCAAGACAGTTCTTATACATCAGGTGAGGCAACAGTGCAATTCGAACTGCGGGGAGATGGGATTTTTGATCATCTTGTTTAGTTTAGGTGTCAGATGGTCTAGTGCCAATTTGATCTTTATTTTGTTGCTGAATATCTTTTACTTCTCTAGATCCCTGTGTTGGAAACACCTGACGGCCCTGTCTTCGAGAGCAATGCTATTGCACGCTATGGTATCTTTTTCTTTCTTTGTTTATTTCTTTAGTGACTTGTGGGTGGTGCTCACTTTTACAACATATGATTGTTTGATTCTCTTTAATGCAGTGTGTCGGTTGAAGGCGGACAATCCCTTGTACGGATCTTCTCTGATTGATTATGTGAGACACTTTATGAGTTTCGCTTACTTAGTTCATTTCCTTACTGTTTACTTCTACTTTTTTTTTATGTTAAGAAATTGGCTGTATGTTTCTCATATACTGGTGACTTCTCATTGGCAGGCTCATATTGAACAATGGATTGATTTCTCATCTCTGGAAGTTGATGCCAACCTTATTAATTGGTTTAGACCGAGAATGGGACGGGCAGTGTACCTTCCTCCAGTAAGTTGCCCTTGTTGATATGAAGTGTAGCTTTTCAACATTTTCTTGGACTTGTCATTCTTAAATTGGTCCCTACTATAATGAGAATGTGTATTCTACTTCTTCAATACATGACGAAGTAATTTCCAGTACAGTAGGATCAGTTCCTTCCCAGGAGAAATCTATGTCCCTACCGTATCATGGAACATCATATCCCATCTGTTCTGAAGGAAAAACTTTTGGTCGACTGCACATTTTATTCTCTACAATGGCGTGATGAAGAGAGTTTCTTCTGTTTTTTTAGAGGAAAAACAAGTTGTTAGTTTCTTTTCTATAGGTAACTTAAGTATCTAACTGATGAGGTGCCTAAAAGGTGCCATTTATGAAAGGATGTTGCTCTGTTATGTGGTGGTGGCTAATTCTACAAGGGCAATGCTCCTTATGTGCTTTTTATGTTGGTATTCTAGCTTTGTTTATTTCATTCTGCTCCGAGCTAATCATGACGCAAATTATAAAATTCTGTATGAAGGCTGAGGAAGCTGCAATTGCTGCCTTGAAGAGGGCATTAGGTGCTTTGAATGTGCATCTATCGTCCAATACCTACTTGGTTGGGCACTCTGTGACATTGGCTGACATTATATTGACATGCAACTTGTTCATGGGATTCACCCATCTTATGCCCAAGAGCTTTACCTCAGAGTTCCCTCACGTAGAGAGGTACTTCTGGACCATGGTTAATCAGCCAAATTTCAAGAAGGTATTAGGAGAGGTGAAGCAAACTGAAGCTGTTCTACCAATCCAATCTGCAAAGAAGCCTGCCCAGCCAAAAGAGGCAGCTAAACCAAAGCCCAAGGAAGAGCCAAAGAAGAAGGAAGCTCCAAAAGAGCCCAAAGCAGAAGCTGCTGATGAGGAAGAGGCACCCAAGCCGAAGCCAAAGAATCCTCTAGATCTCCTGCCTCCGAGTAAGATGATATTGGATGAGTGGAAGAGACTCTATTCTAATACCAAGACCAACTTCCGTGAAGTTGCAATTAAAGGTATCGTGTCATTTATGTCTTGATTTTATCATGTCCATTCGACTTGTGAATAAGAATTTATGTTAACTCATGTTGCGAAGGCATTCTTTTGAAGCATTCTGTTCACTTCATTTGTTCTATCTTCCCGATGCAGGATTCTGGGACATGTATGATCCGGAGGGATACTCACTGTGGTTCTGCGATTACAAGTACAATGACGAGAACACCGTTTCTTTCGTCACCATGAACAAAGTGGGCGGATTTCTGCAACGTATGGACCTTTGTCGCAAGTATGCATTTGGGAAGATGCTGGTGATTGGGTCGGAGCCACCTTTCAAGGTGAAGGGTCTGTGGCTTTTCCGTGGTCCAGAAATCCCGCAGTTTGTGATTGATGAGTGTTATGACATGGAGCTCTATGAGTGGAAGAAGGTCGACATCTCAGATGAGGCGCAGAAGGAGCGCGTTAGCCAGATGATTGAGGATCAGGAGCCTTTTGAGGGAGAGGCCCTGTTGGATGCCAAGTGCTTCAAATGATTGAGGGAAGGGGAGGGCCCCAAGTGATCTGATCTACACTTTTTGCCGTATCTTTTTTCCCCGCTTTTAACTTTTGATTGATTTGGGTAGAGTCTGTACTTGCAGCCTGAACAAAAACTTAAGTAATAGCAATTTGTCATTTGAGTGACGATACTCATTTAACTTATCCTCGTGGATGTCTACTAGGATGTTAAGTATGTATCGTTTACTTTTGGGGTGTTGTGGACCACTGCTTAATACGAAGATGTAGTGAAACGTGTGCCTTTCAGATTTTAATGAGATGCTGTTAGATTTGGTTTTGTTGGGTCGAGGATGGTAGGATGACAGCATGGCAGCAGGGTGGCTCGTTATTTTCTTGTGACCGTTAGTAAGGGAAATGCGTTAGCAGGTGATGAGTGACTGGGGGAGAGGAGGCACTGGCATCGTGCTTTCTTGGCTCGTTTTCGTACGGTATGAATGTGAAGTAGGACGTAAATCCTATTGCATTCGATTGACGTAAATCCTGTGTCAAAAAGCAATTCATCTGTCAAAGCATTTCGCGGTCCTCTGTTTCTCTTGGGAGTAGTGAAAGTAGAAGAAGGGATTGTTGAGTGACGCAAGCTTTCATTTTAACCTGGCGGAGATAAAACGGGTAAGGAGAGAAGTCTCGTAAAATTGGAATTTTCGATCTTTTTAACTAACCACCCATGATTCGACGACCCCCTCCATCCCCACCCCACCCCCCAAAAAAGAAAAAACAAACGAAAGTAACCGATCGTGTATATTTTACATGGAAAAGTTGACGGAAGGTTCATAAGCAAAAGTGGTCTTCTCAAGGATTATCGAGACACGACATGACATTTGTAATTTATATGATTGGTTTGGGAATTTGTCATGTCCGATCTGAATTTGATGGGCCCAGTTGGCCCAACCATACAATATATCAAAAGGAAATCAGAAAGCGCGAAAAAATAAAGGGAAAGTACAATTCAAGAAAAAAAAAATAACAATTCAAAAAACGAATAAAGAAAATAAAATAAAAAATAAATGAAAGAAAAGTCCAAAATTGGTTGGAATTTCATTCTCCTGGGCTTTTTCTCCGAAGGCGGTTGCGGAGGAGAAACATCGAACTACACGTCGCCCTCCCGACAACACCACCACCCACACCCGACATACAATTCCCTCCCGGAGGCGGAGGAGCCATGGGAGAGATGCCGCCCCTCGGATCGCCTCGCTTTCTCCTCGTGTTGGCCTCGATTCTCCTTCGACTTTCCCCAGGTTCGCTCCTTCCTTCCTCTTCCTTCCTTCCTTCCTCCCTCCTTCTCCCTTTCGTTTCCTCTAGTAATCTCCCTCCTGCGTTCGAATCCATTACTGGGGATTCCCTCTTTGCTCGTTTGCTTTGCTGATTGGTTGGTTGTGTCGTCTTTGCGGGCGGTTGTGTTTTCCGAGTGATCCGGTTGGTCTTGCCTGTATTGGTTTCTACATGCCCAGCTGGACACGACTGATCCCTTTTCGTGCTCGCACTTCGATTTGATCTGCCCCAATTAGTTCCGACAGCCTCCTTAGTTTCTCGCTTGCCTCCCTCCATACTCATTGCCTGCCTAGTGAGGTCCTCTCAATTTCTGTCCATTGATGTTGGTAATTCCCTTGTCCTCAATTCGCCCGCTGAACTCCCAAGCTTCTCCTTTTGCATATTAGCCTTGCCCCGCCCACCACTGGTACCCCGACCCTCTACTGATTTTGGAGCTTCAATTATGTCTCTTGCTCTTTTTGGTCGACCAATTGCAATTGGATCTGCATTCCATCTACCTGAATGTCCCTTAATTGCGGATGTCGGGCTTGCCCAATTTGTCTGGTCGTTACTGCTGCGGTCTTGGGTGCATCTTGCGTTGCTCGGATCAGCCCCCTCCCATTTTTACACTCTTTAAAGCGGAGTCATCCTCCTCTGCACCCTGTTCATTCGCTTTATCTACTCTTTATTTTTCCTCTGTCAAATCGTGCATCATAACTGATTTCTACTGTCTTCTCAGGCTCTTCCGATGACTCGTCAAACTCTAAGAAGGGCACGAAATCTGAGACTCATGATAAGTCCGGCGGCAACACGGGGTCTATGGTACTGGTGGTATTGGTCGTGATCGTGGTCGTGGCTCTTTTCTCTTTCGTTCTTTACAAGTTGTGGCAAAAGAAGAAGCGAGCTGAGCAGTATGCACGGCTTCTCAAGTTGTTTGAAGAGGATGATGAGCTCGAGGTCGAACTTGGTCTGCGAGATTGAATTTGCCCTGCAGACTTTGTAGGTGAGACGAAGTCGTTTCTGTGCTTATATGATCATTTATGAGCAAAGATGCTATTGTGTCCTCATGAGACCCATTACGAGGTTGCAATCTACTGTGTTTAGGCTAATTTTCGTGAACTTTTGGAGGGCCTGTTGGTGATGGTAGGGTTTTGTTGCGTGGCTGAACTGAGTCCGTTTCTTGCATATCTTTGCAGTGCCAACAGGTCCACAGCAACCGTCATGTAGTGTTCAAATGTTAGGCAGTCTATAATGAGTTGGAAGTTTTTATAAGTTGATGTCTTTTCAGCATGTATTGTTTTATCTCAAGCTTCGTTGCTTGCTATTCTTTTTTTATGAGTTTATCAATTTCATTTTGGCTGAGGAGAAGAGCTTTTGTTTTTTCTGGGTGTAGTCACTCGCAGCATCCCTCTCCTTAACTCCGTGGAGTGGAATGCTCTGCTCTTCTGAACTATGATGGCTGTATTTGAATATAACAAAAGACCAGGCAATTGATTTGGAGGGTCGATATCATGCATCTGAAGTAAACTGTAGGTCTTGCATAACCTGCATTATGTGTAATTTTTATGTGAAAATGTTTCTAAAAGGGGCAACATTGCCATTGGTATTACCCATTGCAACATCGATTGGAGGAGTTGGTTAGATGTGAAGTGGTGCTCTTCTAACTTGGTTCATTCTGCTGTTTTAGTGTCAGTGCCTTTGCATCAATATATTCGTGACAGTTCCCTTTTTTTGTCACAGGTCCATCTTGGCTTAAACAGCAAGTTTAGCTTGGGATTTTTGTGAACAAGATTCTTGTCCTTTTTCCAGTTTATAAGTTGTACCTTTTGTATTCATATTCTGAGAGAGAGAAATTTGTGAGAATTTAACTTGGGCTGGCGTTAGATGAGCGAATTATAAAGTGTAAGAAACATTCGGAGGGATGGTATCGTTTGTCATGTTGATATTACATGAATTCAAGGAAGTGCAGATATTTTTTTTGTTTTTTTTTTGGGGGAGGACCATTGTCCTCTGCGTGTAATCGGATGAATGCAGTGCTGAAATTGTAAAACTTCAATTGTCGGGTGAGGTTATCTTGCTCACCATTTTCAATCTTAGGGATAATGACATGATTGAATAGGTCAGGAATCCTTGAGCTTCCTGGTGTGCCATCCCTCCCTCCCTCCCTTTTTATACATATATCAGTTGTTAGATAAAAAGGGTCTGAGTCCCCGTTGAATTTTCTCACTGGTATAGCATGATAATGTTCCTTGTGCCAGTGAGATGAAGTAAATTTACTGTTTTTGCAGGAAGATGGGTAGTGATGAGTCCAATTATGGGATTGGGTGTGATGATATGTGACAGTAGGTTGGAAGATGACTTCGCTGATATACCAACCTCGTTTTTTTTTCACTGTTCACCAAGTCATCTTCCTTTGGATAAGTACGACTGTTGGGTTGTTCTCTTCAATGTCAGGAAAGGGCACAATATCTCTGCTCTGTGCAAGCACTAGAATTTGCTCAAACTGGTGGAGTTGTGGGAAGTGCGAAAAGTTAGTGCTTGCTGGGTGAAATATCTCTCACTTGTAGCCAGGGTAGCAGGTTATATGCATTCAGACAACCCTGCATACAACTAGAAGCAAGTCCTGATTCAGGCATGTCCAGACCATAGCTCTCGTAGTGGTGAATACATTCGTCTAGTTTAAGCCTTTAAAGAGACTTTCTCGATAAGCAAAGGTAGTGTTAGACATAAGACTATGCAGAAGCAATTCCAAAGTCAAATGGCAGCTAGATCCAAAGCAAAAACACCATTCAATGAGTGCTTGAAAGCCAAAAAACATCTATCAATTTAGCGCGTTCAGTACAATGATCAACAAAAAAATTCGACTGAAAGACATGCACGATTCTACATCTACCTACATATTATTGAGATTAGGAAATACAAAGTACAAGAACTCTTAACAGCACAAAATATAGAGAAACTGCAATGTCTCATTTGGAACCACATCGATTCCAGAATTAAATGGATAAGTTATTAATCACATGGACCGCAGGGACATCAATCAGAGATCATGCAGCTGATGCCGATCCTGATACTAACCAACCCAAATCTCAGTCGCAGTTTCTGTTGTACTTGGACAGTGGCTTCCCAAGATTCTGTTCCTTAAGATGCCGTTCAAAACTGCAATCGCCTTTCATGGATGATCAGTCAATCACATCTGTCTTGTAGACGATAATTCAAGAACATACACAGTTATCTTCCTGTCTTTGCCCTTTTCATTCCTGTACTGTTAAAGGGTGACATGCTTGGACTCATGCTAGGGCTCATACTCGGACTTTCTTCCCTTAGTGTACCATTGAGCATAGCCAATTCCCTCAGCTGTTGTTTCTTGTAGTGATCCAAACATTCATCCTGCTAAAGAGTGAGGGAAAGGAGGTTATTAGAGCAAGTTACGCGACATCAAGTTAGAATCGGAGTGTTTACGTGTCTTACCACTGGCTTCAGAAGGTTCTCTAGTATAGCCACTGCATGTTCCAACCGAGAATTTATTATATCCTCTGGAAATTCAGCTTCCACTAGAATGTGTAGAGGTTCATTAAGATGCTCATATCCAGGCTTATCCTTTAACTTTTCTTCCTAAAAAGGTGTAAGAAATGCACCGTCAAATACGCATGCTAATTAAGAAGCAACGTACTCAATAATCTAGAAGAATTGATTACCATTTACCACCAAGTGTGCCGACACCAGTTAGATTTAAAAATATAATAAAAATTATATTCTAAAATTTTCAGTTTTTGAAACAAACTACGAGCAATTCACTATCTTTTAAAAGTGAGAAAAAGAATGATGTTTCAATACTTGGCAAGCAAATTTGGGGAACCATGCTGCGTACCAGCCAAACTGCAATAAATTCTTCAGTAAGACCCCGACCCAAGGAATTTTACTACCATATATGAAATCACAAGCAATTTGGCAGAAAAGGTGCTTATTCTCTCTCGTTTATCCACGGTAAGGAATTTTAGGCTACAAAGCCACAAACACAACTCTCAAATTGGCATATTAAACAAGAATACCCAATACAAAAATCTGATAGGAAAGGATGAAGTCAAATGAGGCAAAAATATCTGGCCAAAGAAAAAGAGAGAGACAGAAATAAAAGAAGCGAGACTGAAGAAAACTCTGACTTCCAACCTAAATTCAAGACACTAAACAAGAATTCCCAAAAGACATCTGATAAGAAAGGATGAAGACAAACGAGAGAGAAATATCTAGCCAAAAAAAAAGACAAATAAAATAAACAAGACTGAAAAGTAAAACTCTTGACTTGCAACCTGCCTAAGGTAGTTGCATTTAGAATGTCTATTTAAGGAAATTTCAGTAATAGCAAATGATTCGGATAGGAACCATGAAAAAGTAAAAAGACAAGATTCGTCCAATTCAAAGTTCACTGGTGGAGAGGAAGGCAATTTGGACATGGTGCCGTGCAGCCAACTTCAACTCAATGACAAGAATTTGGTTTTTCAATCATCTCAATAAGATGATGTGGCATAGGAGAGACTGGGGATGTAAGTTAGAAAGGATATGCAAAGACCAAAAAAGACTTGATGGGAAATTTTTTCTGAAAAAGAATATGGAGTGCTTGACCAATTTAATATGCACTAACTAGACCACCACAACATCACATTGTCATTATGAGAAAGTTGGAGATGTATACCTTTACAGAATCCTTCACCGAGCCCTTGCCTCTTATGTACACTCTACATTGTGTCATGGCTTCGACTCTTTTAAGGGAGTTTCCACGTGGTCCAAGGATTCTTCCAACAAAATTATACTGCTAAACTTAGAGTTAGAGCCGCTGCTCAATATGTAAGCAGAAACCACAAGCATTTTGACATTGGCTAGAATTATGTGAACATACACTTGGATATTTGTCGACAGGAACATCAAGCCTGATGACTTTCTTCACTACAGGAGTGGTTGGTACACTGACAGCTCCTGGCCAACCAACTGAAGAAGATTGAAAGAGACCCGCTTTCTGGAGATGCCCATTTTCCTGATGCAAGAGGCTTAGCTTTAGTAAGCTCAAACTGGAAGTAGCAATAAACTGTTTCTTCTTGACAAAGCTAATGTGGACTCAGCAGCCTAAACAAGAACCATTTGACTTCTTTCGCTTAGTATAACAAATGAAATCTCCAATTAGTCAGTTCAATTTTAGAAGGTCTAGCCAAGGCTTAAAGCAAAATATTCATACACTCTTCTAAGAAGACAGTGTGCCTTACAGTCCGGAAATAATTCAAACGGAATATCAAATTAAGACAAACTCTCCAGGTAAAAGAAGAAATGTATTCATATCACAAAGACATGCAAACTGTGAATCAGTCCCATAATAGCTGAATTCAGATCAACAGCAATACAAATGGCCACATGCCCAAAATCACAGAATCTGCAGCTCCAATGGAATAGCAGCTAAACACATCATTATTCCCATGGGAGTGACCTAGGTATTACCTCCATTTGCATGACAGACCACCTGTCCAAATCCAAGGGCCTCCCATTTAACTGTGGATTAAATGGCCTATGTGGGCTCTCATGGTCAAGTCTCTCATGATCCAGAAAACTTGTACTATAAGCTGATACCCGTCTAATTTCTGCAGAAACCAAAAGGCAGGATAAATGCAAAATAAAAGGGAGGTAATACATAGAGGGCCACAAACGTGTACCCCTTTCACCATCAACTACTCCTAAATTTGCTCAGAAGAATTTAACCAGCTTCTTATATTTTGCCACTTACATTCATCAGTACATAAAGGACCATATTCAGCTTGATGCAAACATGACATAGGCTGAAGATCGTATTAAGACGCACTCAAACAAGGGATACTATGTACCAGTCTTTGCCAAGAGGTTGTCATTGAGATAAGTATGGAGATGAAACCAACAGAGATGAAAGGACTCCTAGATGACAGGAAAACGAATACGATAATTAAAATGAACAGCAGACCTTGATTAAGGAGCCGGCTACAATTTGGAAGAACGTGCATAAAAGGTCCAAACTTCTGCCTCTCAGCCAATAGCTCAGCCAAGTATCTGCAAAAGATAAAACGATCTAATTTGCTACCACGTAGCAACATGGAGAAGCCACTGAATTACAATTCGGGCAACGGGACAAGAACCAATCTCCTTCTTGAAGACTAAAGTCTCAAAATGAAGTGTAATGGATACTAGAGAAGTGATGTAAATACCATCAATTCAAGGGATAGCTACTAATCTCTGCGAAGGAGGCCAGATTGGATATTTGACAGATAACCCGAGAAAAGCTTTTGCACATTAAGCCGAAAGCGAAACTCAGAAAATTCAGAGGTTAAATAATAGCAAAAGCCATGTGGGGAGGCTAACGCTTTCAATTCTTCCAACAAGGCAATGCAGAATCACTCTGGCCACCAATAATAACAATCATAAAAGGGAAAACCGGTATTCGTAAAAGGGTGAACCTTAAAGTTAGAAAAACAAAACCATCGGAAATACAAATCACAGAGAGAGCAGCAGAGAAGAAATCAACAAAAACAAAGAAAAAAGGGATGGTAAAAGAAGAGACCTTTCTCGATCGGGAGGAAGGGGAGAGGAGCGGTGAGGAGAGGCATGGAGGCCAGAGGGCGGGTACTGGAAGAAACTCCCCGACTGGATTCTCTCTCCCATCACACAACACCTACCAATCAATCAAACGCCATCAAAGGAAGACAAAAACACAAACGTTAGATCGACCCATCTCTCTAATCTGTATGCCCACAAGAAGGAGCACAGCTAAGCGCAGACAGAGAGGGAGAAAGGAGCTTACTTGATGGGAGAGGAGGGGAGAGGAGTTGGATCGGAGACTGCCCTTGTGATTTGCGTGGTTGTTGGGAGCGAAAGAGGGAGAGCAGACAGACACGCACAGGCACAGAGAGCCCTACTGCCGTACTCCTCCTAGCCCTGACGACATTGAATAGTGAGCAGTATCTATGAGTTTTGCCTTGCTTTGCTGTGATTTATTTAGTTTCTAGTCAAACAAGATTCACTTCACCCCCCGTTTTTATTATATGAAAATGATTGCATCCTGAGCTGTGGAGGGATCTTGTCCATTTTCTCCTTTGATGTTGCCTTGTAAAATATCAGAGGCCATCCCCTTCCATTGACGCCTTTCCTTTGCGATTTTAGTGTAAAGACTCATTTTTTTTTTTATCACCGTTCTAACTTACGGTAATACTTCAAAACGCCAAGAAAGTCGATGATGATTTGAGAATAGAAGACCCCCCCGGCCGTCGTAATTCCTCAAAAAGTTCAACGCCTTTTACTCGTATCATCGACGAATCAATTCTATTTTCATATTCATTGATTAATAAGAGTACCAAGATCCATCTCTGTTGATGTGACGTAATTGATTGATGTTTTCGCCGTCGACAATAAAATTAAATTAAAACTCTAGAAATTCAACAACCAATGAAGCCGTCAATTCACATATTTGGTAGATAGATACTATAACGTTGATGAACCTGCACGGATATATCATATTGTGTGTGAGTGAGCAGCAGCAGCCGTCAATTAAGTTACTGCCTTAATGTGTTTTTTTTGGGCCGGGCCGATTGCGGACGGACTACCCACGCCCCCCAAAAACGGCAGCTCGTTTTCCAGCTTCTGCGCGTAACGCGTCCCGCTTCATATTCCCGTGAGATTTTCGGATTTGTTTGCCGATTTTTCGTCGGAATTAAGGAAAGAGAGAAACCTTAAGAAATTCAAAAACGCAACCGTATATATAACACTCACGCACCTGCACGTTCCTTTTCCCCTCTCCTTCCTCCATTCCTTCCTCCTCCTCCCCCCTCCCTCTGTTTCTCTCGCTCGATATTCCTCCTCGAATGGAGGTTTCTTCCTGCTCAATCTCGATCTCATGAGCCCCTTCTTCCCCGCCGTGCGCTCGATCATGCCCAACAAGATGTGATCTCCCGGATTGCGATTTCCTCTCCCTGTTTTTTTTTTTTTTTTTTCCGGGGCGTTCCTTTGACCGATTTCTCGAGGGTTCAGTTTCCAGCGGTCTGTCGAAGAGCCGAGGATTTTCCCAATCGAGGGCATGAAAGGGCATCTGGATCGGACCAAGGTGGTTCTGCGGCACTTGCCGCCGTCGATTACGCAGGGCATGCTCTTGGACCAGATCGATACCGCGTTCGGGGGCCGCTACAGCTGGTTCGCCTTCCGCCCCGGCAAGAGCAGGTTAGGGTTTCTGCCCGTTCCTTCCCTTCCGCCCCGCGCTTTGGTGTGGTCGTGCGTATGGGGCTTTTCGTGTGCTGGCATTAGCTTCCCTTCGCCTCCTTTCCTCTTTTGTTCGATTCCCGCTTTGCCTCTTTGCTCGGCGAACCGAGGTTATGCGTCAATTGATCAGCGTATCCAATGACGGGCGCTTATGTGGTTCTTTTCGAGGTTTTAGCTGTTGTAGAGTCGAGATTCGTGTCCTATTTTTCGTTAATTCTGGTTATTTCTATATTCAGTAGTTAGTGAGCCGTCGAGGCTTTTGGGCTCTGACCCTCACTTGCAGAATTGAGTCCGTTTTTGTTTGTTATCGGTTTGATCGTGACGTGTCTATCTCTGAAGTTAAGGGTCGAATATTTTGCGTAACTTGTGATGGTTTTGCCCTACTTCTCCAGAGAAAGGGTAGTGTTCGCGCTTTCATTTGATTGTTGGGGGGGGGGGGTGGGGTGGGGTGGGTTTTCCTTGAAGCTCTCTTGTCGGATAGTGACTTCACTGACTTTATGTCTGTCTTTGAGATTTCGTCCTCTTCATCTTACTTCGAGGATTGCTCCTCAGCCAAGAAGCTTCATTTTCGGGAAAAAAAAAAAAACAAGTAGAACATATTGCAAGGTTCTAGAGGATGTTGATTATTCTCAAGGGAGTATTCCTAGGTATTGTGGATACTATGACTACTAGTTAAACAGCAAACGGCCTGGACAAGAAAGAGTTGGAAATCATTCTTTAGCTCCAAGCCCTGTATTTCCTAGTTGACTGATGCATTTACAGGTCCAACACCAATTAACTGGGATAGTTTTGCATTTCTGTCAAATTTTCTATTGAAAGATCTCCTAGCGAGGTTAGGTGAGAATCTGTTCCGACACTGTAAAGAATATGCTATGACGTGGCTTTGTTTTCCTAGTTATGGGTGGAGAGACGTTTTGAGCAATTGTGTTTTGGACACTTGCCAAATTAGTGTCTGCCGTGATGTTGTGCATTGCTTTACATGGTTCCGCAACTTGTTTTGCAGCCTGAAGCACCAGGTCTATTCAAGAGCCTACATCAATTTCAGGAGACCTGAGGATGTTGTTGAATTTGCCGAGTTTTTTGAGGGGCATGTGTTTGTGAATGAGAAAGGTAACTTTGAGAATCTGATAAAATATATTCTCGTGTCTGTAGAAGATTTTTGTTTTATTTCACAAATCACGCTTCTTGAATTCTAGTTTTATAATTGAGCTCTATTTTATTGAGAGGTAACTGAACATGAACTTGCCATGCTTTTTACGTCACAATTTTCCTTACCTACTCTTGTGACAATCATATGGGCTTTAGTTGCTTGTGGCCCGGCACATTCTGATATTTGCGCTTTGTACGTCAGCCACCTCTTTATGTAGCTTTCTTCTAGAAACTTGTGATGTTTGATTCTTCATAAGTTTGATTTAAAACTTTCTCTCGTTAGGTACTCAGTTCAAGACTATAGTTGAATATGCTCCTTCACAACGTATACCTAAGCAGACATCTAAAAAAGATGGCCGGGAAGGGACCATAATGAAAGGTATTTCCTTTGCTTGGCTGAAGTAGAATCATTGGGAAATCGATGATGGATTAATTTTGACCAGGTATTTAAACCTTTTAATTCATTATAGCTCTCTTGATATTGCAGATCCTGAGTACTTGGAATTCCTTGAATTTATTGCAAAGCCAGTTGAGAATCTTCCAAGTGCAGAGATACAATTGGAGAGACGTGAGGCGGAGCGATCTGGTATAGGTCACTTTCTGTAGTGTTAGAGTGTTGCTTGTTCGTTATGGGTGCGCAATACTTGAGATTAGTACAGCCTGCACTCCTAATTTGCTTCCCCCCCCTTTTTTTTTGTGCACATTTAATTTTTGTAGGTATTGGAAAAGAAGCTCCTGTAGTGACTCCTTTGATGGATTATGTTCGCCAGAAGAGGGCTTCAAAGGGTGGATCTCGGGTACTTTATTATTGATGCTGTAGTTACTTTCAGAATGGGTCACTGAAAATATTTATATGATAATGAAATTCTATTGGGAGTCTACTAGGAGGATAAAAGATTGGCAAATGCTTTTGAGATTAGAAGTCATTGTTTGCAGGATCAATAAACTAAAAGATGAGTCACAAGGATATGATGTCTTGAGAAAAATATCGGTTTTTTAGGTTCTTTGTTTTAGATGTAGTGACGCGTTGACATGTTAAGTATGTTGTTTTTTTAATTTGATCTCTTTGTGCCTTCATGTTGGGGAGATTGGTAATAATAGAGCATGAGGTGTTGGTGGAGTTACTCCCACTTCCAAACAAAGTTGCTTAGGTTGAATTGGTTTCGTAAGCTCGATCTTCATTTCTGGCTTGTGGTACCCCCGAAAGGAGGCATATAGTTCCAAAATTATTGTTTTGGTGGTAGTTTTTTATTTGAGGCAGTTTCATTTGTCATGTAGGATCTTTGTGCAAGTGTTGCCATTTTACGCCAACCTTGGTGTTCCTTGAGAAAGGAAATCCCTTTTTCATTTTTGAATGCTGATGTACTTATGTTGACTGTAACAATATAGGAAGTCTACATCTATTATTTCATACATGCTTTTGATCTACGGAATATATTGCTAAATTTGCATTGCCATTCTTAATTAGTTTTGACACATTTTAACATAACTGGGTAGTATTATTTTCTTTGCCAAGTTTTCAACTGTCATCATTACACTTGGATTTGGATGTTTTGTTTTAAAATATCTAGCGCTATTGCTCAGTAGACTCTCTTATTGTACTTTCATGCTTGTTGACAGAGGTCAATCGCTAATGAGAAAATGAGTGGAAGAGGTGGTGGTTCGTCTGCCGGAAGCTCTAGTTCTGCACCATCAAAACGAAATTCTGAAAAGAGAAAAAGTTCAACTGCAATGGTACTCCTATTTGTGGCATGTTGTTGCGCATACATCTTTATATGCGTGTTGTATTGTGTTTTTTTAGATGTTTTGGCATGGTTGCCTAAAGCAGCTCGGGCCATTGAGGTGCTTTTGCTGATCTTATGGTTGATCCGAATTTTTAATCCTCATTCACCTTTATTTGCATCTGTACCCACTGATGGCTATGCATTGTTTTTCAATGTAGTAGTCTAACAATTTGTAAAGTGGGAGATGAGTTCTGATTGAGACATGTATCCTTTTTCCTCGTAGAGTTGAGTTGCATTGCTTAACAATGGATTCCTGATTATTGCTTTTAAAAGTTGATGGCGAGCTTAGGTTTTTTGAATTGCTGCCTCTTTTGGCTATTACCTAACTATGTGATGGTCCCTTTGTAAAGGATCATAAAAATATTTTGGCATCTTTAGTGTCATTACTTTGTAACGAGGAGCTTTGCCATTTTTATTTTGGTTATGTCCTGCTCCTGCATGTTTAGTATGCCAAATTTCAGTTGGTAGTGATGCTTTTGGGAAAAAATGAGGACTTTGAAATTGAAACCAAACTTGTAGATGTAGTCCTCAATATCTCGTGCTAGTTAGGACGCTTCACCGTTGATGTAATAGTTTTTACTGGGAATTGTGATCAATGGGAAGTGTCACTGCAAGTGCCTGATGTAATGTTTGACTTTTCTCCATCCTGACCTTGTTAATCAGGAATTACACAACATATTATGGGAAATTTGTGAGGTATATGATGCAATGATCGATTCATTATCAGCTAAAATTTTTTAGTGATGGATTGTTTGATCTCTGCGATCCCTGTAGTTCACAATGTTAATTACATCGAGACCTAGAGTTATCAAATTGCGACCAAGGTTCATTGCTGAAGAATCGTAACTGATTTTGTCTGCACTTGTTGCAGTATATTTTGAGAGATGCTTCGAGGAGCAGTAGTGGCAAAGACAAGTCCACTTACATTCTGTCTTCCAAGCGAGATGATCCTCAACTTTCTGACAAATCTAATCCTTCAGCAGTGGCAAGTGGAGCTGGACAACCAGAAGATGACAATGGTGAGGCCCAGATGACGATACTCGGGCAATTTGTTATGACACTGCTGCAATCAAAACTTTTTCTTTTGGGCCTTTGTGTTTGTGTTCTAGGAAAGTAGTGATAAATATGAAGTCATTTGGCGAAACTTGAACTAATTGGAAAAAAGAGAAGGTGGGGGGGGGGGGGGGGGGGTTGGGCTGAACTAAGTGGAGTAAGTGGAGTTGCATTTGTTGCCGTGGTATGACATCCATTCCATTCTTGACAACATTATTTTTGGAGTTGCACTAGTTGGCATTATATAAGGATAGTTTGGAGGAACATATTTTCCCCTATAGAGCTGTGTTCATGTCTATCTGCAGCAAATCATTTACAACAACACAAGTCTACGTCTTTATTTTTAAGGCAAAGTTCACAACTCAGATGGGGAAAAAGTTATTTGTTTTTTCATGTCTAGATATTACCGAAATAAGGGGGCCGTGTTTTCTTGAGGTTTTACTTTCTTCTCTTGGAGTAGTTGATGTCTTCCGTTTCTCAGTGGAGGTGGGGTCTGGTTGTAATATCCTTTTCTGGGTATTTTTGGCGGGAAGCCAAGTCGTGCATAAGCGGATGGTAGATTTGTGATGATATTAAGTGTAGGCCCACTGCGAAATGTCCAACACCGAAGTACTCCTCTTGGAGTTTCCAACATGATTTCTGGTCTGATAGTTGATTGTTTGAAACTACAGACCTTGGTGTCATGATGGTTACATTCACTTCGGCCTGTATGGGATGTGTCTTGGGACGGTCCAAATAGATTGGCTCTGGAGGGAAGGTCTTCGGCTTGATGCTCTTGTGTATCTTGTTATCTTTATACGGAACCTTTTCTTTTCTTTTTATACCTCCGGTACAATTTCTGTGTACCTGAGGCGTATTGATTCTATTCATTCATAACTTTTTGTTCCAGAAGCAGAAAGTGCCATGTGCCTTCATTGATGTGTTCTTAGTGTATTCATCTGATATGTCGGTCATTTTTCAAAGAAATCTAATGATATGCTTTCATTAGCTGTAACACTTGAAATTTGATTATTCCTTTCTGTACCTGAGATGACTGTTGCTTATTTTATAGAAAACTTACTTTATCTCCTGACTTTGTTCTAGGGACTATTGGAATTGGAATTGCTGGTGCTGGGAAAAGGAAGATTTTACTTTTGAAGGGGAAGGAGAGAGAAATTTCTCATGTTAGCTTCTTCTGCTTCTTCTTCTTCCAAGTCGATCAACTTATTTATCTTCATTGTCCATCGGGAAGGCATCCTTTTACTGTTCTAGACAAACATCTATTGGTTAATTGTTTTATGGTTTAACGACTGTTAGTTCATGGGGTGGCTTCCAAATGTTCTTTTTCTCTCCTACATATGTTTCTGAGGCAAACATAGTGCCCTTGCTGTGATTTCAACCATTTTCTCTAAATAAGGATGTTATTTATTTTTCCAGGCTGTGTAAATGATATTCAACTCGTCAGAACACGGTCCATTTGTTACCATGAAGTATTCTCGTCCCATCTGTTTGGAAATCAGCTTTTTATTGTATTTAATTTGTGACGCAGGTCTCTGGTGGTGTATCGCAGGACCAGTGTCAACTAAAAGATGTGATAGGTTCAACCACTGACAAGCAGAAACAGCGGCATGAGGGTAGTCGGATAATTAGATCCATACTTTTGAACAAAGATGCACGCCAAAATCAATCAGGAGTCCCGTCTGAAACTCAAACACGAACTCTGCATCCTGGAAAAGAAAGGAGGCCTCCTCGAGCCCCAAGTGTACAAGCAGTTTCAAAAGATACAAATGGTGCTCCTGATGAGAAGGTCCATGGGAATGGCCTGTCTGGTTTTGGTAGTGAAAAGCTGGAAAGACGCGCAAGAAATAAAGATAGACCCGACCGTGGTGTATGGGCTCCTCTCCGTCGTTTAGATGGATCTCACGCAAGTGATTCATCTTTCTCTACTGCTGCTGCACATTCAACTTTAGATTCCTCAGAAGGTAAGACAATAGGCCTTTGCTTGGAGCCTTTGTGGCTTGTCAGATTATCATTGTTTTATCGCAAATTTATTGTAGACAAGAAAAGTAAGAACATGTGCTGTTAAACATGCCCCCATGCTCTTACATAGAAGAGGGATCAAATTATCATTTTAATGGGCCAGTTGCATCAGCTTATAAAACACTCTTACCCCTTTCATGCAGTATAATCTCTTTCTAGTAGAAATAAGCAACACTAATAGCAGTGCAAGAACACTTAGATCCAAGCACTCCAGATTTTTCTTTGAAGTTTCTGTTGATTTCTTTTCAGATTTGCTTACCCCTTTTAGCTCGATCCTGATAATAAAGTCTCATCTTCACATTGCACTATGTGAAAGCCATCATTTTCATGTTCAAATCTGCCAGTTGATTTTCTTACATTTCATTCTCATTTTGATCCATACCTTCCTTTTTCTCGAGTATTCTCATTTCTTATTTCAGCTCGTTTTAAATGAATGCATCCATCTAGGATTGGGCTTAGAAGGCAGCGGTTTTAATCAATAAAAAATCGGTGTGCTTGACATCTTCATGCATTAAGATACTGGTTTGCCGTAGGAATTCCGTGTGTAAGAAAATTTGGGATGCTTCTTGAGTTCTGATGTACATAGATAATGAAGACTTTCTTTGTTTGCACTTATAGATTACTGTTTCTATCTTACTTAGCTGGAGCACAACATCGTTTTTGGCATTTTATACAGGTTTCCGTAAGTCTGTTGGTCGCCGGGGATCGTCTCAGGGTGGGAAAGATAATGATGGCTCACCGCTTACGAGTGAACAGAAGTCTTCAAAAAGAGGAAGTGCTTCTGGCTATAGTTCCCATGAGGTGCTTTAGCTTGCTTTCCAATTTGCTTATTCTATTTCAATGTTTCAATAGGTCATGGGCATAAATATTTGCTATCAGATAAGTGCGACCATCATTGAAAAGAACATGAACTTAAAGGCACATCTTTCTTTGGCCTTGCAGAAGCAAGTGTGGGTTCAAAAGTCAAGTTCTGGATCTTAGTGTCTGAAAAGTGGTAAGACTGGCAGTGTATTATGAATTTTTTTCCCATTTCTCGTTGCTGTATGAGTCAAATCATATATGTGGGCAATTTCTATTTTTTCTGGTTTGATCTATGGGATATTCGCACTGTCATGCTTAGGCTATAGATGGAGCTTATTTAGATAGCAGGAGGTTGAATCCTAATCTCACATTACTGTATATTATCTATGCATTTTGAAGCTGGTGGTCTCATACTGCATGACTCCCCAATACATTTTTGAAGGAGTAAATGAACTTCGAAGGAATTTTTTTTTTCTTGGTAGTCAGTAGAAGTAGAGAAGAATGCTTGTATGTGTAAGTACTAGACTTGGCCTTATAGATCATATTTTCATGATATGGTTGCTTGTTCAGCCGCTATGGTTATGGTGTGTCCTTTCTATTTATTACTCTGCCAGAGTTTATTAGGGCTTCATCTTCTCTTGGAAGGTGCATGCATACAGTTGAAGATTGTTTCCGTTTGTGTAATATGTTGCAAGCAAGGCGATCCAGTGGCGGTGGACTTGCCTGTTTATACTGGTTGTTTCTCTGCAGTAGTTGTGTGGAAGCTGCAATCTCTTCTGGGTAATGTTAATCTGTTGTCTTATGTTGCTCTTGTTCTTATGTTGTAGTGAAAGGCTTGGTGTATTGTGAAATTGATCACGCATATCTGCTAGTGGCTGGAGGCTCGTCTCTTTTGCTAGACAGGTGGTCAGAGTGGAAAAGGCTTTGGCAGCAAAAATGGTTTCTCGGGAAGAAACTGATGGTTGGTACAGCTCGAAGGGGGGAGGATGGAGATATTGTTGTAATTAACAGTTGGGTGGGTGAGTTGCATAACCCGGATTTATTACTACGCAAGGCTGATTTGGATTAGTTGGAAAGAGAAGGAGAAAGATATCGTCACCTAGGAACGTACATAAGTTACAACAGATCCTATCCCAGTATCTTTCGGGGGGATTCTTACCATCGCTGAAGGAGCTACAGATAACATTCTTGCCATCGACTCTAATGAGGGGAGCGTGATATTTTAGCTCATAGGATAAGGTTCTTGGTTGGACTGTAAATACGAATGCGGAGCAAATGGTTTATTGCCTCTGCTCTTGTCAGTTGTACATCTTTGTTGGGCAGAATATCATACTCTAGTTATGGTGTGTAGTTGCTCTAGCCCATTTTGTTTAATGGCTTTCTTAATGGGGGTTCTTGTCGAATAGAGAAAGATATATGTCGGGGGATGCTCTTTCGGATTGTACCCTCGAAATGTTGTCTATGTGGAGAGTGTTGATATGGAGTTGGAAATCGGATGGCACTCTCTGTTTTGGAATTTTAATGTTTTGGGTGTTGCATGTTGGTTGCGACCGTCCTTTATTTGCTCTGCACCGGTTTTCAATTTTGATGTGTAACCTCAAAAAATTGGCAATGTTGCCGATGTTGGAGTAATCAAAAGAGAGGGGGGATTCTTTTCTTGCAGTGGAGGTGGTTCGAGAGCGTGCGAGACGTAGTTGTCGTTTGGGCTCGTGAGAGTGAGATGCAAACAGGGATGGCGACATGGTGGTAAGCCAACCTCCTCAGCAGAAGTGAGGACCACCCTTACGTCGTAGTCGGGACGGCAATGCTTTGCCATTTCTGTTCCCCCCGAGATATAAAGCGAATCCCCACTCAATTCGTTGTGGATTTTTTTTTCTTCTTTTCTTTCTCTTTGTTCCTTTTTCGACGCTAGAGGGACTCCCCCCTACTTTCCAAAACGAATCGTAATATCGATATCCGAGATTAGACTGGCCTCGATTTTCAAGAGCGCTTTTGGAGGAGGATAATGCAACAGGGTAAAAAAGTTGTGATGCTGCGAATGTCTTGAGTATCGCCGATTCCTACTTTGGCGGTGGATGGAGGTGTGCCCGTTTGTCGACATGATGACCCTTTTGCCTTTATTACTTTCTTTTTTTAAACCCGTTTTTTCTCGTCAGTAAAACCAAAAAGCTGTATTTTTATATAACGAAAACAAAGGGGGCACGCCCCTCCAATCAAAACAGGCTAGGCCACTACACTGCATAGGATGTGCAACCCTTTTTGTAGATTCTAACATTTATATAAAAATATAATCAATCGTCGACAACAAAAAAGAGGAACGGAAAAAAAGAGAGAGAAAAGGCCCCCCCAAATAAGTCAAAATGGAAGGAGGAGAAGCAATTTGGAAATGAATGAAGGTTGAAGGTTGAAGGTGAAGGTGAAGGTGAAGGTGGTGTGAAGGATCAAACAGGTCCAGATCTGGCGTCAGTCAGTCAGTCAGTCAGTCAGTAAAATGGAGTAAAAAGACGAAGAGCTGCTCGAGCCTCACCTCACCTCATATGCTCTTTTTTTTTCACTTTGACCTGAGTGTGGTTTTTGAGGACCAATTTGACGATGAAATCGGAGGACCCTTTTCAAATGCCTCATCGTGTCTCGCTCCTGCCTCTCCTCTGCTGCTGATGCTCCCATCATCCCAGGTATACTTCTTCTCCTATTTCTCTGTGCGCGCGCGGGGACCATCGTTCCTTTTGCTGTGTGTAAATGCCCCTCTTCGATTTAGCCTCTCTCGTTCCCCAATTCGAGCTCCTCGCTTGTTGATCCGCTCGATTGGTTGATCACGCTCTCCGATCCCCATCCCCGTTTCCTGCTTCTCCCGTCGCTCGTTGCTGTTTGGTTTTTGCGGGCATGATGCTTTGTTACTTCTGCTTCCCGCATCGCGATGAAACCCAGTGTTTGCTCCTATTGCCCACTCGTTAATCCTGCCGGAACGCTAGTATGAAGGGCGTACGAGCTGCTGGGTCCATCGAGCTCTTCACTGCTTCCGACCGTGTTTTCATTTGGGCCGGTTTCAGTGAGAATCTGTGAGATTCTTCCCGTTTCAATTCTAGGCTCGCATTATTATCTTGTCGACATCATTCTTGGAGTTGGAGCCCCGTAATTTTTTGTGGGTTTTTTGTTCGCAAGAATGTCTAGCCGCTGTCCTGATCACCCGCGACTCGTAATCCGCTTTGTTTAGGATAGATCTTTCCTCGTTTCGCGGATTTGGCTCCGAGATTATTTCGCCACTCAGAAAGTCTTGTCGTTTCTCAGTTCTAACTCGCAATTGCTTATCCTTCCCCTAACGCTGCTAGATGCACCGAATAGAAATTTGGTAGCTCTTGTGCCTATGTTGATATCTAATTGAAAGAGGCAGCATTGCAATCGTGGAGGTTAATTAGGTGAAATAGGGATTGCTGTGAATTTGGAATCAAATAATGTTGGTATTCTCTCTAGGAGAGAACTTTCTTCGTCTCCCTATTCAACATGGTTTGACTTGCTCAAATTCTGGATAAGTTAATTGTGTGGGGGCATGAACAATTGTTCGGAGGATTTTCATTTGATAATGCAAACTGCCTGCCTCGAATGAATCTTTAGAGCATCATTCTGGATGGGGCAATTTTATGAAGGGCAATACGCATCATCTTCCGATAAGTTTGTTTGTGCTGCCAATTTCAGGAGCTGGTTAAGTCAGTTGCTGTTTCTTCTCTTTGGCATGTAAATTCTGAAAGAGCAACTCTCCTTAAGCGCATCTTGACCCAAAGGGTTAAACAAAGTGGGAAGAGAGATTATCGACTTTGGGTCCTGAGGATGCTTCTCTTCTCCTCCTGGCCTTCCTACTAAAGACGCTATATTTGATTTTTCTAGCTTCTGTGAATGATATTTTCTTTCCTTTTTTTGCCCGCGTGAAATGCAGTTACTTGATTACCTTTTCTTTTTTATCCCCTCACATTGTTGACTTTTCTTGTTATTTACTAAGAAGTTAGGATTGAGGGACGGGGCAATGGATACTTATGATGCTATCGAGAACTGCTATTTTTGACTATCCTCAGATACATACATCATGGCTTCTGCTAACCGCGGGAATGGAGGAGTCGGCAGTTCCAGATCCATTCATGGCTTCAGCAATTCATCTAGTTCCGTTGACTGGCTTGGTAGAGAAATGCTTGAAATGAGATTGCGAGATCGGGTGGAACATGATGAGGATAGAGTACGTCTTGCATCCTTTATCTGGTTTTTGCTTCTTTGGTTAGCGCTTATAAGTAATGACTTGGTATTGGTTTGCTCCAGCAGAGGATGTTAGCAACTTGTAGGACTGTGATTGGTTATCCAAGTTTTCAGTCTGGCCGCCGCCACCTCATACTCCACGCTACCCATACTATCACCACTTTCATCCATACTATCAAATCCTCCACTTCTTTATCATCACCTCTACCACTTGTCCATAAATGGATCATAAGAATTGAACCAAGTCTAATTAAATTGAGAATTTCCTCTTAGCTATTGATCTCATGATTTGGTTTCGGCAATAAATGGCTTCTGCCATTGCTTTTCTCGTTCTAGACATGTCTACTCATTCATATTAGATAACTGGCATTCAAGATCATTAAGCTTTGGGTAAGAGTCATGTTACGCGCACACAATTATTTGCTATGCCTAAAAACCAAAACTCACAATTGATATTTGAATTTTTACATGTTGGACAAAAAAGCAAAGTCTTTCCTATTGTCCCAACTACTCAATATGAGATTATATTGAACCTTTTTTTGTTTTATTTGAATTCTGTGATGTAATGTTTGGGATTTGAATGAGAAAGTGTTTTTTTTTTATTTTTTCTATTTCCGACTTGAAAATGAATTTGGAGAAAAGAGAGCCTATTTGCATATGTTTGAGGAAAAAGTATTTTCGACAAATAGAAAACACTTAATTGTAGGGTAGTGTATTGTGGTAAGAGTACTTACCTATATCTCCTTATTATTGCATCTCTTGCAGGACAGTGAACCAGACATCATAGACGGTGTAGGCGCTGAAACAGGGCATATAATAAGAACCACCATTGGTGGTCGAAATGGTCAATCTAGGCAGGTTTGAGGGAATGAGGCTTGAATTCCAAATTATTTGGTAAAAATTATGTGCAACTCACATGGTTATGACTTTGTGGCCGTTATTTCTCATTATTTGGCAGAGAGTCAGTTATATTGCAGAGCATGTGGTTGGAACAGGTTCTTTCGGTGTCGTTTTCCAGGTACATACGTTTAACGCATTTAATCTCTTGAGTGTGTCTTCTAACCATTTATATTTTGTATAATCGGAAATGATCATCTGATATTCTTTTTAACTGACTGGTGTAATTGAGATGGTTTTGGCTGTTGTTCCAGGCAAAGTGTAGAGAAACTGGTGAAATTTTTGCTATAAAGAAAGTTCTCCAAGACAAGCGCTACAAGAATCGGGAATTACAGATTATGCAAATGTTGGACCATCCAAATATTGTGGCCCTCAAGCACTGTTTCTTTTCAACTACCGACAAAGAAGAGCTGTATTTAAATCTTGTGCTTGAATTTGTTCCTGAAACTGTTAATCGTGTGGCAAAACAGTACAGCAGGATGAACCAGCGGATGCCCTTGATATATGTTAAACTCTATACTTACCAAGTACGTGGGTGATAATTTCTTGGCCTAAAATCTGATTTTCTGGGTGGTTTACAATTCACATCTTCATAAAGCAAATGGCATGTGTTGAATGGAATCCATAAAAGCAAATAACTTGAAGGTTGGCTCCAATAAGCTGAGCGCTATCAAATGTGTAGGATGTTGCCTTCAAATTGTTCTGTTTAAAACCACTTTGATCATGCCCTTTTCTGTTTCATTAATGTTTTTGGTGGGTTACCTTTGTTTTTTCTTTTACTCTTTTTTTTGGGGGGCGGGTTGGGGGGGGGGGGGGGTGGTTGGTTTTCATGATCTTTTTATATTTTCCTGATTCGGGAAGGAACTTATTTAGAGTTACTGAATGAGAGGGCCAGTTCTATGTCCTCACAGCTTGTACTTTTTTGCATCTTCTGAAGCTATATGATTTACTGCAATGTATAAGCTATATTTTTGCTAAATTTTTTCTGCAGATCTGCAGGGCACTTGCATACCTACATGGCTGCATTGGCATTTGTCACCGGGATATCAAGCCTCAGAATTTACTTGTGAGACCCTTATTATTCTCTCTCTCTCTCTCTCTCTGTGATCTGATCATAAATAAACTCTTGGAGTATGATGATTATAAGATTGACATGGTGATTGCTCTCAGCCAAGCCATTGGAATTCATGAATCAGTGTACATTGGTGCTTTCAAGTTCTTTCTACTACATTCTCATCATGTACTTCATTTTGTGTATTATAACATTCTAAAGACTGAGAGTTAGGTTCTTGATTGAGAAAATATGTTAGCAAAGCATACTATTTATTACTCTAGGTGATTTACCATTTAGGTCCTTGTGCACTTTTTCATCATAGTTCCTAA